TGAGGTCTTCAGCTATTCAGAACGACTGCTTTTTCGTAAATCCGTTGATAATTTCCGCGGTTATTAACTTAAGACCCGGAGGGACTATGATGCAGACACACAGGGGGCTGGTGAACTTGCGAATGTTTTCTGTGTACAGATGATATGGATGTAGATCTAAACTGTGGTTATGTTCTTCGTAATCTGTTGGATGATGCATCATATTATTGAATGTGCTGGTTTGGCGCAGTCGTGCTACTTTAACATTTGTTGCCTCTTGTTCTATTGTAATGGTGACTGGTGGAATGCCTGCTATGACATTTAAAGCGCTTTTGAGGCCCGTTCGATATGCCCTTGTGATTGCCAGGAAGAAAAGTCTTTGTAGAGAAAGTAATTGCCTTTGGGTATGCGTACTGAGGGTTTTGCGCCAAGCTGAAAGGCATGTAGTAAAATATTTTCTGTTACTGTACGGGACCATAGTGATTGTAATTTTGGGGATATCCCCCAGTTGCTAGCAGCCGTGAATTTCTGATAGTTGCATAGGATTATGAATTTGTCTTTCATATAGTTTATGTGTTGATGACAGGGCAGTCTGTTATTACTTATGACTTTTCCATTTTGATTTTCTCAATAGATATCCGTATTATTGGTTACGTAGGATTTCTGAGCGAAGCTCCCGGTTTTGGAATGCAAAGTGCGTTGCATTTTTGTATCAATATTTTCAGATGAAATCTGTCCGCCCATTTTTTGAAAAGTATAGGTGATTGTTTTTAGTTTTCCTCTATTTCTTTGCGGCTTGTGCCCTGCGTGATTAACAAGAAAACGTCGGCATAGGCCTGGACATACGTGTGGGGGATGCTGTATACATTTTAAGCGCTTCATTGGCGATTAGATTCCAAACGACTGGTCCTAAACAAGACCCTTGTGGGCATCCTCTAGTGATCTCGCATGTTTGGATGTCAGTTTTGAAGGTGTACTGCATCATCTATTACTTATGTAATCTCTTAAAAACCTCAGAATTCCATCTGAACAGTTTAACGTTGATAAGATTTGCAATGCACCCTTCCGACATATTGAATCGAAGGCTGCTTGTATGTCCAGTGAGGTAACAGAGAATGCAGATTCATATTTTTAGTTATGCGTTCTATTTCTGCTGAGCGTGGAAGGTCCGAAGGAGCTGACCTGATTGAAGAGTCAAAGATATTTACAGTCTCCGAGTTTTGATCCTCATTTATCCTATCCTCTTCTTGGGGATAGAGGACTGATATGACTTTTGTTACTACATCTGTTGGAATATTAGATGCCAGGAAGTCTGATATGGAAAGTTACGGCGGTATAAAAGTTTTGTTGTGGGTTAGTTTGAAGGCTGACCCATAAAATTATGTTGTTGCCGCGTAGAAATTCCTCCAGCTTGTCGTTTTTGCTAAACGTATATGTTGCTTGTAGACCATTCTTGCTTTCGCAAACTGTTGTTTGACTTCCTGCTTTTCCACTTGAAGCCTACAGGCTTTGTACCGCCAACTGAAAGCCTTCACTCTGTTCCTTTCTATTGTAAGGGAATAGAGCCACCAATGAATTGAATAGAGCCACCCTTGAATTTTTTGAAAGTGTTTTTTGTTTGTAGCTTGAGGTACAGATATCTGTCACTGTTTCAATGAAACTGTCTGTTGAGGCATTTACTTCTTCATTTGAGTTTGCGATTTCAAAGCAGCGTATGGTATCCTGCGAGCAGGCTGTTATTTCCGCTTTAAATTTGCTGTGGCCTCCATTCGTTGTTTTAAAACGTCTATTACTCAAAATACTGTAGAGCACAGTTTTTGAGAAGATGGCAACACATGCGTCTGCGCTATGGGCAACGCCAATGACAGCCCGCAAAATTAAACTTGTCGACCACATTCAACGGCCATTCGTTCTGGCTATGAGAAAAGCCTATCGAATGACACCAACATCCGCAGCGATAGTCATATCAGGAACAATCCCGCTGCAAATTAAAGTGGAACAGAAGGCAGCGGTAACAACAGTACAACTCCAGCCATATGATCCACGTGATTACGAGGAAAAGAGAAAGGGAGTGTACTCTCACACAGACAGAAATCGACACGCAGGATAATGACGGCTTTTTTCGCCGAGCAAGTAAGATGCATTTCACATCGGGAAAGCTGATATCTTTCCTCTTCTGTAATAATACTGTAAAGTTATTTTTTAATTAACCAAGAAAGTCTATGTTAAGTTTTGAAATAAATATAAAAAAAAGGCCAACTGGTCTGAAATTTTCCGGCGACATTACACCTGCTATAGTCAGCTAGATGCGTTTTCCCGTATTCCCGTAACAAAGAGAAAGAAAACATTGAACATTGTGGATTTTATTTTTTCTATGTATATTATTATTATTACTTTCTTTCTGTTCATTATTTTTGTATAAATTATTGCTATCTTCCTGTTAATTATTTTTGTATTTAAGAATAAATTTATTGAAAAAGCTGGAAATATTGTATTGCTATTTGCTTAATGCTGATCTTCTTTCCAAACAAACTTCATAAATTAATTTTACTAAAACATCAAATCAATATCAAGAATCTGTTTTTTTTTTTTTTTTTTTTTTTTTTTTTTTTTTTTTTTTTTTTTGACAGTAAAAATATTATTTTAAAAAAAAAAGAAAAATATTTTCACTTATTTAAGAATAGTCACAATAGTCAATTGAATGGTGTAAGCTTTGTGTAAGTAATAAAAAAATAGTATTTTGAGAAAATGCTCTTATGAAGTTCAAGAAGGAAACAAATGTAGTGAAATATCCTTAAAAACAACAGTCTAGACAGTTTTGTCTCCTGTTGATCTCTGTTTTTTAATTACGTTCTCCATGAAAAGAATTTACTTTTAATGAAACTGAACAGCACACATAATTCATAACATGGATTATAATTTAATGAATAGTATTTGTTATTATTATCCACTCTTTATTAATATCATTTGAATGGAAATTTGATCATTAAATCCATGCTATTTCTCTGGTAGAAATTCCTAGATAAGGTATGAATGTTTATAATTTTGTTGTATTTGAAGACTTGGGTACTGAAAATTTGTCAATGTGGAAATTACTTTTGAGATATTGGTCGTAAATAGAAATGATAGCATATGTTGAAATTAAACTCTTTTTGGTGCTATAATATGCATGTCTGCCAGTGAGTGAAGAATTGCCATAATCTGTCAAATGAAAAATCATTAAAAGTAATTACTTCTGACAATAGACGTGGGTGAAACTTACATCTATGATATTTCAAAGCAAAGCAAAGTTTAATTTGAATTACTCATGTGATATAAACATACCAGTTTGCAGATTTATTCCCGAAAATTCCTGAAAGTTAGTGTTTACTTTGTACTGTATTCTCTCGAGTGTAAAAACCCTTTTTTTTTTTTTTTTCAGAAAAAAAGCATATGAAATTCAGGGGTGCGGCTTATACATGTAAATGATTAGAAATAGATGCATACAAAGAGCTGGCAACACAGCAAAATGTATTTAATGATTGAGCATAAATTACATTGTTGGGTGAACGTTTCATAGGATTGTACAGGTTTAGTTGTAGTTGCTGGTCATGCTGACCAGTTGTGGGATACTAGTATTAGTAATAATTGATACTGGTAGTGCAGCCAACTACTGTAGTGATCGTCAGTGACAGTGAATAAGGAGTGTTAAGCACAGAAGCATGTTCCTTTTGATTGAAAAGTAAAAAAAAAAAAAAAAAAAAAAAAAAAAAAAAAAAAAAAATGAATGTATGGTAAATACTGTTTTCCGCTCAACTGCTTTCACACCTGCAAAATGGAAAAATATTATATGTAGGCTATCTGTCGCTTATCCTCTAGTTTTTTTTTAAAAATAGGCATATTTAGAATATTGTATTTTTCCTAAGAGAAATTACATATAAATATTGAAGAAGGTTATATATATATATAAATATGCATGTACATGTTTATAGTATTGAGAGTTCTACAGTGAAATGCAGAAATATTCCATACTGCTTTGCACAAAAATATGTGCCAACCAAGTATTGGTCTTTCCAAAAAATATCTCTAGACCACTTTGGTCTTTTCTTTTTTTTAAACCTTCTTCCGTTGCCTCTTGGCTAATAAGAAGGGCAGATAAAGAGCATTCTGTTGAGCCAGTAAAACTTTGTGTTGAGCTGAAAAAGCCATGACACAAATAATGAAAACGAAAACACGGGAAATCAATCGAGTGGGAAAACAGCGCGCGAAAGGTATACACGCACGTATGCGCAAATTCAGCTTCTCTCATTGACAGCAACTTAGACCCTCGTCTCGCAGGTGTGAACGGAACTCCCATATTTTATGACCTTATGACTATGCCTCTATGCCTTTATGCCGCCGTCTAAACGCAGCCTAAGACATCAAGTAACACAAATTGTTCTGCACATTGCTGTGAGTTTTTATGTTCCAGCTATGTATTTTCACGTCTTATCTAGAATGAATCATCATGGACGTTAATAGCATAATCCTAGTATTAGTATCGCCCTTCTGTAACATATGGGAGAAATGTGCAACGCCTATAGCCCCAGTATGGCACTGTACTATGTGCCATACTGCCACATCTTAACACTATAAAATAAATTCTCGATGCGGGCACAGGGAGGGTTCAACTCGAAACAGTTACGGGATCCGGACGTTACCCGAATAGTCTATGAAAGCCGCTCGGATGTCCTGACCCTGCTCTCACCTGCATTCATTCAGTGCTGTTAAATACTAAATTATTGGTTAAACGCTACAGAAAAGCGTGGCACAGCTAGTTTCCTTTGTTCTCATTCAAAGGATCAAAAATTTTAAGCCCCTAAATAAAATGTCTCCCATTGATTTTGAGAGTATTACCTTTTTGCGCCCTCCCCACAAAAATGGGGTTTATTTTAAATCAGTTTTTAGATGCACATTTTCACGCTTTATCTTGTATTTTATTTAACTTTTCACGCTTGCAATCACTTTATCTAACGCTTTAAAAGCTTAAAAAATGTACTTACTTTACTTGTCCGTGTTTCACTGCTATCATCAATTATTGCTGCTGATATTTTTCTTCTGCATCCATTGTCCCATTATCATTGGGAATAAGTTTAGAAGTGCTGTTTGACAAGTCATTAGGTATCGATTGATTTAAAGACGTCTCTATAAGAGGTAATCCATCAGATGATATTTCATCGGTGATGTCCACATAGGCCGTCTCCGTAGCAGGAGCTGCTGTTGTTGATGCTAAAAAAGTGCGTTTTATTACTCACACTTAAACATGCAAATTTTGCGTTTTTATGAATCCACAGCAGATAAGAAAGTTTTATTATGAGACCATAAGTATAAATTAAAATAGAAGCAAAATATGGGTGAAGCATGTAACTTTAGTATTTTCTAAGCACATATTTCTGAACTCGAACTCTTTTCATAATCACATAAAGAAAATTAAACTACAATTAAGTAACCTCTATTACACCTGTAGATATCTCATATTTCTTTATGGAGACAGCAAACGTGGTAAATCAGCAATGCCGTCGCCGGGAATCGTACTCCGACCCCTGAGACTGCTACCCAGGTGTGTTTCCGATTACACCACAAAGGCACACAGCGAATGGGTAAAAATATTTATTACATTCTTCTCCATTTAAAGGGCGACTGGGGAGGTGGAACCGTGTCGCTAAACCCTCGTTGGTGACGAATTATCGTCCACTATGTTATAGTTCGGCGCCACTTGTAGAATCCCTTGTGAATTTATTTCATAGCAGGAATCACGAAAAATGTGTAATGCTTTCGCCGAGATTCGAACTCCAGGCCTTCCGATCACACCACAAAGGCACGCGGCAAGGAAGGAGAAAATACCCTATACACCTTTTATTTTTCCAATATCTTCTACTTAAAAATAATTGTAATTTAACATAATTTAAAAGTTACCACCGCAATTATGAGATTTAATTTGTGCGATCAGAAAATGAAATTTGCGCTTTTTTTATTTGGCTGATTTCATGTCTTAAAAAACACAGAAACATCAAAATACGAGTACTTTCCATATTTCTTCAATGAATTATATAATGCAAATTGTTTCCCATAAACTCCTTCTACAAGACCAGAAGATAAATGAAACGGCTAATATTTCGTTTAAGGCCTGTTACGACATAAGGCAACTCGTTTCGTTACGCGGGTCGAGCTGTTCCTATTTCTGGTACCTTATATACTCCCTCTTTTAAAGGGCGACTAAAGATGAAAGGACCCAATCGCCAAATCCTGGCTGTGACAAATTATCGTCCACCGCCATTTAGGACCACCCGAGAGACGTGAAAAATGTGTAGTGCCCTCGCCGGGACTCGAACCTGGACCTTCCGAATACGCGTCGAGTGCACTACCCTTACACAACGATGGCATGCTGGAAGGAGAGAGATTCAGTGGTTTTTGTGATTTTAATTATAAATTTTTTTTATCTGATTATACCAATTTTAGTACAAACTATTTACAACAAAATAGTGAACTCATATTTTATCTTTTTACCTATGAAAATTTTAAACTCTAATTTAAATCACTGTGCTGCCGCTGCTTGTAGGCTCTCTGCAATTGATACCATTATCAAAGAAACACCAGACGTTATTACTTTACAAGCGCCCAATCATATTCAAAATAAAATTGCGCATGCTCGGGGACTTGGAGAGTCGCTATCATTATTACTAAGAAACAATCTGAATTTATAGTGGACGTAGTACAAGATTGTATTGTGGCTGTCTCCACGTCTAATGGTCAAAATAACTTTGGTATTATATCGGTTTTTTTCCTCACCGGCGGAGGATTTGAATGTATATTTATATGCTTTAAAAATGTTTTAAAATTGTACAATTTTAACTTTAGAATATTGGATGATTTTTAATTTTAAAAATTTTAATTGGGTGCTACGGCACTGAACCAGAGGTATTTTAGTATTGATTTATGATTCATGATTTGAAACTTTTCAACAAAAATGACTCACCTCCGATTTCTCCGGTGGGAATTGGTTGGACCGACTTGGTATTAGTGTCATCGGGCATTGTTTTTAACTATGTGGAAATGAATATTTTAGATGAACCTACCTTGAGTGACAATAGATAAATTTATGTTGATTTAAATGCTGTAAAAATTAATAATTTATATGAATCTCTTATTCTTACAATTTGTTTAGAACGAAAAAATTTGTCAACAAACTGAAAATAGGCATTATGAAATTTGAAAATGAACTTGTGAAAGTTAGAGATGGAGACAGTTTGAATAACGTTGCCCTCAGGCTAGAAGAAAATATCCAAATAACATGGATAAATTTTAAGACATAAAATGAAGAATGAGAGTCAGAGTACAAACTGGTGGACCCCTGAATTAACTATTTTAAGTTAAGACGAAAACAAAGCTGCACGAAAAAGTTTTTTCAGATAAAGTGTTCTGGACGTGAGAACAAGATTACAAAGGAAAATTAATTACAAAAGAGTTTTAGCGGTATTCAAAAAGGCAATTAAAAAGACAAAAAGAGACCTTCGAAATTATTTGTTCAATATAAACAAGATTTATTATGACAAGTTTTATAAATATGCCACAAATAAAGGAAAGGAAAAAGTTATTTTATACAAGGATAATTGTAGTGTATCCACGTCTGCCATGAAATGATATGATAAGTTGATTAAAGACACCCTGAGGCCGGATTATTGTTCTAATTATCCTGATTATCGAAATATTTTTATGGAAGACGACGAGGAGGTAGAGAAGGCGTTTACTTTGGTGAAGATATATGTGATGTTATTTCTAGCCTCAGAGATGGCACTGCCTCTGGACTCGATGGAATCGGGACTACTTTAATTAGAATTCTTTTCGGAGAATTCACCTCTTTTTATATATTACTTTACAACAAATGTACGGTTTTAAAGACTTTCCTGATATTTGGAAAATTGATTCTTGTTCCTAAATCTACAGGTGGGCATAGACCCATCTACTTATTAAAGACCCATGCAAAAATCCTAGATAAACTCATCACAAAAAGACTTGAACATTTTTTAACGAAAAATAATATTAGCAGTTCAAATTAATATGGCTTTCGAAAGAATATGTCTACCGATCTAGCATTATATAATGTAATCCAACAAGTCGGAGAAAGGCGACAAAGTAAACATGTGGTCCTGGTCTCCTTCGATGTCCGAGGGGCATTTGATTCTATTAGTTGGTTCTCCTTACTGTCTATATTAAAATAAATTGGCATCTCAAGAGAGCTATTTGGTACAGTTAAAAGTTATTTTAAAATAGAGAATTAATTTTTCTGGGCAACTCTAATACAATTAATCTTCATTATAAAACTGGAAAAGGCTGTCCCCAGGGCTCATGTAGGGCTCCCCTGTTTTGGAGCCTCATAGCAAATAAATTACTGCAAGAAAATGTACCTGATACGAATATTACCTGTTATGCCGATGATATTATGGTAACGATTGCAGGATACTCCATCGGAAAATAGAGGCTACTTTTAACCTGCTTGAAAATGTTTTTAAGAAATGGAGTACTGAGCAAAATATAGAATTTTAATATTGAGAAAACAAAAGATATGTTTCCCCTCGAGGAGAGAGAAATGTTAGAACCCCAAGATTGAAATATGATCAAAAAGAATAAAATTTGTGAATATGTTTAAATACCTGGGTGTAGTGATCGATGGTAAGTTTAATTTATACAGTATTTCAAGTCAATCCAACGAAACATAGAAAAAATTTTACATTATTATAAAAATACTTTTACTCCGGTCACTCTTTCTAACAAAAGCTCTACCCTGAGGGATATTTACAAAAATGTTATTATACCGAAAATTCTTTATGTTATTGGCGCATGGGGTGATCGAGCAGGGGAGCTGGTCAAGACAAGGCAGAAATTAGACTCATGCAAAGAGCCTGGACACTTGCAATTACAAGATCATTTAGAACAGTCCCGACAGAGTTGCGTGCCTACTGGCTGGTGTACCGCCTCTCTCACTTATATTTACTTATGACAAATTTTGTTTGAAATATAACATAAAACAGAAAATAGTGTATGAAGATAAATCAATTACCAGCGAGGCTGTTTTAGAACATGCTCTGAGTTCAAGCCATCCTAGCGAATCTTACAGCATATCCTATGATAAAGGCTATATTTCAGCTGGAGAAACTGACATCTATACAGATGGATCAGGGTTTGCGGAAAGCGTCGGCTGTGCCTTCGTTATATTTTGCCACGGTATTGAAATTGATTATAAAACGTTTACTCTAAAAGCAAGAAATTCAGTTTATCAAGCAGAATTTTTGGCAATTAAACTGGCTTTATCCTGGATCAAGAAATTATCCGTGGGGTGTTACATTAATTTATACTCAGATGCCTCATCTGCTCTTATGGCGCTCTCCCGCCCTTTTCAAAAGAATAACATTGTTAATGAAATTAAACAGATACATTTAGCACTACGAAAGAAGCATATGTTGAATTTACATTCGATCAAAGCTCACGCTGTTCATTATGGGAATGAGAGAATTAGTTCTGTTTCCTCCGCGATTCCTCTTTCCGCGTTTTTCAAAATTCTTCCTGCTCCCGCGAAGTCGAAGAGTACAGTCCACCTTCCATAACTCCTCAGAGATGTCACGATGAGTCGTAACAAGAGTTGGGCTTTTTTTTTTTTTTTTTTTTCTTTTTGTGTGTGTGTGTGTGTGTGAATAAGTTAAGTCTTCGTTAGATTGAAGACATGTCTTAGTTTAAGGCTCTTCTCGAAATCTTTAGCTTCATTCCATTTATAATTCTGCAATATGGATATTTTAGACATTATTGAAACTAAAAGCAAGTTCAGTAATACAGGTTCTCAGCATCGAATTCAGATATAGTTTATTAGGTTTTCATAAATGAAAGAATTAAAAGCTGCAAAAGCGCAATTAAGACCAAAGAAGTCGTCGTTTCAGAAGAAAGAACGTCGTTTTAAGAACGAATATTTATTCTGAAAGATTTTATTATATCTCACCTTTATGCAGAATTTTCGAAGAATATTGTTTTTTACTTTTAAATACAGTATTAGCTTCATTCATGCAAAGATCTGAGATCGTAAGTTTTTTTTCGATTATTTTTCTTTTCAAAATTCTTTTTTTTTTTTTTTTTTTTAAATTAAAATTTTTTTCCTTCCCTACATTTCGGGAGAGGGGCAAGTCCACTCGCCCCCTACTATGTAACCCTTTTGGGAAGGGGAGGGATAATGAAGATTGTTGATTTCTGGGAAACAGG